ACAGCGTGCTTACGGGAAAGTAACGGTAATCTAATTACCGTTTTTGCAATAGTAATCCCTTACTTTACTCGTTACTTGAAAAAAGTAATCAGATTACGCGTCACTGCCCATCTCTGGTTGTACTTAACACAACACTCAAATACTTAATAAAGTGGGCTTTAATCCCTGGATCTCATTAACAGAGTCTGGCTGGGACGAAGAGCTGAGTACACCTCAGTTCCCTCAACAACTCTACAATAAAGCAGTGCATGCATGCTCAGCAAAAGTCCTGTCTGGGTAAATAACAGTGTCCAGATTCCTAACAGTAACAGCTTGTTTGTTATACCTGTGCCTATCCCCTATTGCATGGTAATCTACAACAGCATTATGTTCACCTAGAGGCGATTCCTATCTGCGCCGCTCTCCGTGTCCCAAGCTTGTTTGTTTCGTTGAAAGAAAGAACGAGTATGTGGAGTAGGTAGCGATAAGAATAGCTGTTTTATTGTGTGCCACTGCCTTGGCCTCTAATACCGAATGTGTTATCTGAGGGTGCAGCATGCCACACTAAGCTATGTGCATGTGACGCATGGCTGAGCAGCATTCCTCCTCCTGAGTGCATCGCAGGGCAGAGATAGTAGGAAGGCAAAGGCAGCCTGACTGCCAACAGAGAGGGAAAGAGGAGCGAGAGAGGGAAGAGAGATGAAGGGAGGGCGCAATACCGGGAACATGTAGTTAAGTGGAATGAAGTACCCTTTGTTGCAGATAAGATCATTCTGCTTCCCTGGCCGGCGTCACTAAAGCAATTTGAGCACGACGAATGTAGCTGATTATGTTGTTGGCAGACCACAAAATCCCTCACTGACATGCAGATAAACGTTGCTCCAAGTAATAAAAGACCAAAGGTTTCCCCTCTTTCATGCAGCCATGATTTTACTTTTATCTTATATTTAAAACACTGGATTATGTGACTTCACTCTGTAAGTTGAAACAATGACTAAATGCAGGGATGCTTGTATCATGGAAAATTAAGACGGCTCCTTAACATCTTTGTGCAAACGACTTCCTGAAAGGATCGTAGGCCCCCGGTCCTGGAGTGTTCTGTGAAATACACAAGTAACTAATTACTTTTCAATTTATAATATATTGTCAGTTTGTAGCTTTCTAGTATGAATTCAAAGAATTCTAAATGCTGTAACCTTTGATTGCTAACAAACAGGAGACTGCAACCAAAGAAACAAACATAAAGTGTAAGCAATATGGGATCTAAGCTTCAACACATCTCAGTATTTAATATCCAAGTACTCCAAACACTACAGGAAGAAGGGAACGCCATTCATTCAGAAGATATCTCCTCAGTTGGTGTTTGGTGCAGAGCGGTTTCTATCACATCCATCTAAAAGTTACCCATGAGTGTTCAGCTGAAAGCCTAATCATACAATTCACACCATTAGCTTTCTTATAAGATCGTTCAGTGAGACTCTACGGCCCATGGACGGAGGCATTGTCTTCCTGAAAGAGAGCACTCCATCGGAATGGAAATGTTCACAGTATATAGATTATAAATTAGAACAACTTTGTATTGATCCGCAATACAAAAGGCATGTCTGTGAGAATCGTAATGTATGGATGTTACTACAGGTTGAACCCTAATGTATCTGTAATAATTTATAGACTACATCTACTCTGCTGAAACAATCTGATAGAAATAGTTGCTCTTTTATTCTATATTCTGCTCTATGCATACTGTTACAATGGTCCATACTTATATACAATAAATAAATATGGTCAATGTTTCAAATAATGAGAATACCTGTGAGCCAAAACTGTGCAATGCATTAAATTGTTGGCCATATTTCCTAAATGCAGCTGTTATTTTAGGCACTTTCCTTACTGAACCACTAACCAGTTGATCACTATTGACTAAATATCCTGCCATCTGTGCCTCAACCCTCTATTGAAGTCATTTAGGATTTTTCCTCCTGCAGTCTTATGCAAAATTAGAATCGTCTGCGCCTGCTAGACTCATTGTTTTGCTTTGCATCTGCTTTCTCTTTTAATCTGTCTCCAGTCCGTGTTATCCGTGCCCCATTAAATAAATTCAGTGTGTGTTTGATTTCTTTATCTGTTACATAATCTTGTGATGTTATATTTTATTTACAGCAGTTATCTAAATCCCGTTTAATAACTAATCCCTTTAAAATCAGATGAATTTCCATTAAAAGCATGTAAAAATATGAGCATCATTGAAACAAATTGAAAAAGCACCTAATAACATAAAAATGTTCTAATGCAGCTAATGTAAAATACGAAGTCTTAAATTAGTAATTACGGCATGTAGAAAAACACAAGAAATGTAAATAAGACTCACTGAGTGCACACCGTGTAGCCGCGGCAACGTGGATTTGAAACAGGAAGTGATGGCTTTAGCTGGTTTGGTCTGTGGGTTGTAGTGGCATGGAGCAGGGCCATCTTTCTGAAGGAAATAGCAGGAAAATATTGATGTGTCTAGCTCTGTGATTAACCTCCAGGCTGCTTACCCACCAAGCTTAGAGCAAAATTGTCGAAGACTAAATAGAAGATGAAGATGTAGCACCAAGATGGCCAAAATGCTCCAGAACAAGAAGCTTCACCAACTAAAGGTTGATATCAGCCATTTCTATCTTTTATATACAGTTCACAGGTTCATGGTGCACTACTATTGCACACCATGTCCTCTATCATTTTTAATTCCTTGGCTCTTTGATGTTTGCTCATGAAAACCTGTTGTTGTCCCAGTCTGATACTCAGTCATCTGAAGGATGTGCTAACCATGTACACCACTTCTATTTCGAGGTCTTACATTTAAGACATACAATATATCAATTCAGTCCTGACTTTTTAACCTTTGCCAGCAGATGTGTGGTACACAGATTAGCAGCGCGGTCACTGGTTCAAGCCCTGACTGGAGCCTCTCTGCGTGGCGTTTGGATGTCCTACCTGTACTTGTGTGGGTTTCCTCTTCTTCCCACATTCTAAAGACATGTTAGGTTAACTGGTGAGTGCATATGAGATAAAGTGCATGGAATAAAGCACAGTATGAACTTATGGCATTAGTCACACGTGGCTTGTAGTCTAAAGAGCTTTGAGTGGTCGCTACAACAAGACAAGCACTTATATAAATATCAGCGCATTTCATCACAGGTACATTCAAGACTAGTTTCTGTCAGAACTCGGTCAGTCCTTCTTCCTCTCTGTGCCTTTCACTTCTCCTTTCCCGTTACCCACTAACACACATACTGGTCATCACCAGCGGCGTGCCATGCAGAAATAGCATCACCCCTCCTCCGCTCTCCTCCCCAGACATAAGACTGTCGTCCTGTCCCTGAACACAGGACGGGCCTTTTATTTTCCATCCCTCCTTGATTCTGACAGAAGAAGACAGGATAGTGCTTTTTTCCCCTCTACCCTTCTCCTTGCAGCAGTGGCTACTACCATTACATGCCATTTGATTCCAGTTGCCAGCTCACTTGATCCTCGGTACCCCACCTGCCAGCACCTCGGCACGCCTGCCTCATGCTAACAGAGGTGCTAATGCAGGTGTATTTCATGGGAGTCATCCGGCAGCTGTGAAACTCTTGTGCATGTGTGTTTGGGCCAAAGCACTTGGCATACTTTCCTGCTGCGGTACAGTGTGTAAGAAAGGCTCTCCTGGGCGACGTAGGTACCTGGCATATTCTGCAAATGTCTGTGAAACTTTTAAACTTTGACGTATTTTTCCACCGGTGCCTTGATATTCATTAAAGTTTTAAACCTTTCTAAGATTAGGTGAAATCAAGAAAAGAAAGAAATATCTCTAAAAGATTTTCTTAAGGAAAGTTTTATAGAACTTTGCAGTTTTCAGTTGTGTAGTTGAAGGTATCACTACTTTATGGGAAAAGTACAAATGGAAAATAATAATAACTCCACCCACTGGGTAGATCTCAAATATATTCAGCCGATTAGAAAAGACATGAGATTTCTTCCTCTGGGGGTCCTAAATGAATGCCACTGCCAGCTGTACAGTAGGCCACATTAACAGATAACAATAGAGAACATCCACATCAGAATATGTGCAATTTTTAAATGAATTCAGGTGAGTTTACATCTCAAGGCTTAAATCTCAGGTAGTGCAGTCAAATCAAAAGAACAACATATAAATCTGAGACACAAAATTTCACCAGGAAGGAGAAATTAAGTCAAATCAAGCTAAATAACTAAATTAAATAAATATACTCCATGTAAGAAAGTCAGATTCGTGTTTTTCTGAGTTACAAGTGGAAAGAAATTTCAAATTCCTGCGCTGGGCCACACCGACTTCTTCATCACATACCATTAAGACTCCTCAGCTTTGATATTCTAATGTTTCCCACATGCAGCTGCTTAACCTTTGACAAAAAAATCTTGTCTCTGAGTTGCTTTGACACCAGCGATGGCAGAAAACTGCTCCCAGCTCTGTAGTAATAACACCCTCGGGATTTCTTAGCGCCTTTCCTTCTCTGTCAACACTCAGCAGCTGCCAGCGCAGCTCAAATATCCATCGGCTACCAGCACCGACGCTGCAATTTGAACCAAAGCTGACTGGTCAACCAGAGCAGTGCCATAACAGGCCTTCAAATGGGGGAAAACGATACAGTCAGAGCGCCCTGGAATCGGTTTTCTTCAACCCTTGCGGTTGTCATAACTGCCTTGTGCACATTAGGTCATAGCTTGTAATCAAAACCTATTGAAAGTGTATTGTAAGGAAACTTTTTGTGGACAATGGAAAGACTGAATGGTGTTAATAATTGGTCCTGGTGATCAGATCCTACTTACAGGCAGAAAGCTGATCCGCTGCACAGTCGAGCGAAACATCACATGCCTGCGAGAACAGGAGATAAGAGAAGGAAGGGGGCAAAAGAGCAAATAACAATAAGGAGAAAAAGTGAGAGAAGAAATGGATAAGGAAGTTTGTGATCGACGGCAGAGGAAAGGAGAGAGCAGCCTGGTGATTGCTCCTCCATCTTTGAGCTGCATGGAGGTGAGAGAGGGAACCAGAAAGCCGGATGAGGAGGAAGGATTTCGCGATCAAGGGATGATTCATGGCTTGTCTGCGCCGCTGTGATCTGAAAGTTAAAGAGTGGCTGTTTGTCGAGCGCTTACTTGCAGGGAATCTTCTCCACTGGTCTCGCTGTCACATTGTAGTCACATGGCGAAGTGTTTATGTGCTGGCAGAAGGAGAATAAGAAGATAAAGATGTTTTTTTTAATATATACACCAAAGTATCACCCCGAGTTTGTTTTTGTTTTTTGAGGGGGGCACCTATTGTGCTTTAAGTAAAGTATGGATGATAGCTGGTTACATCCAAACAGACTTCCACAACGGAGCAGTGAATAAATATTGCTGAAGTAAATTACACCCCTAGGCTAGTGAAAGCAGAAGTCTATCATTCAAAAGTTTCTGCTCATAATGACTTCAGTCTCTATGGGGAGGTTCCCAGGTTTGACTCCAGGGCCTGAAATCTATACCTGCTAAACTTTACTGTTAGTATATGTGGCTGTAAAATAAAAGATTTTTCTCTTTTTTATTGTTTTAACAAATAACCATTTACTCTTCCACGCATCAATAACCTTGACTTGCTGTATTTATTTTTAGTTGCATAAGAGCCAGATTAGTTTGATCCTATTTTCTTGTGCTGCGTGGCACGAAGTGAATTCAGCTATGTGAAGGAAAACGTTTCCACTGGACTATATGCAGTGCTATGGAAAGCTAAGTAAAGCCTTGCTGCTTCTATTGGATTGAATGGGGCTGGTAATGTGGTCTAATGTCTAATCAGATGCATTTGATTGATTGATCATTAAAAAACGCAAGCATTTCTAGTTTGCTCGTCTGGAGCATTCATGTGTGTGTTAACTGCAAATTCAGGGTCAGACCGTACAATGCGCAGAGAAACTGCAAAAAACAAAGGGTTGTCAAGCTAATATGTCTTGTTTTAAGTTTAAAAAAAATGCCAATGAAACAAGTAAAACTTCTCTAATTTTTCTCTAGTTTCAAAATTCACTGTTTGAAACAAGTTCCTTCGGCTCACTGAAATGTTGCCCTGTAGCTGATTGTGTCTTATTTTAAGTGTAATGAGATAATTTTGACTAGAAAATAAGACAAATATATTTGGTAAGATTTTGAGTTTTTGTAGTGTAGTGGACAGCGCTGTGTTTGGCAAATCCACACAGAACATATCAGCACAAACACCTGATACCAAGTGTCAAGGACAATGGTGGAGGGCTGGTTATTTGGGCTTGTTTTGCAGCCACGGGACCTGGGAACCTTGTACTCATTGAGTCAGCCATGATCTCCTCTGTAGAGTGTTCTGCAGTCAAATGTGAGGCCATCTGTCCAACAGCTCAACATTGGCCCAAACTGAGTCATGCAACAGGACAATGATCCTAAACACAGCAGCAAATCCGCATCAGGATGCGTTAAAATGTCTCAGAGTCTAAACTGAAATGCTGTGGCAGGACCTTTAGAAAGCTGTGTATAAACTAATGCCTGTAAGAAACTGATAGTCGTAAAGAAGCTCCCCACCTTGATTTGTTGACATCATACTGGGTTATTTAAGCTATCTCAGTGATTAAATGTTAAGTATAACTTCTTCACGCTAAAAGAAAGGGGAACAATTTAGAGGTGCACCTTGTTTTACCGGTTAGTAGGTAGTTACTGGAGCCACCTAATATTGAACTGGGCTGTACCTGACCCACGATGTAAACCTTTGTTGTGTTAACTCAAGTAAAGAAGCTTCATACTCAGCAGCAACTGGTTGATTACATATGGCTTCTGTCTCAAGTGAAAGCAAAACTAGAAAGCAAAAACTATGAAAACTTTCAAAAAGGATCAGTAAATGAGTCTCAGTGCTACCTTGTCTCTAATTCCAAGGGTGAAAATGTCGGGTCGGGGGCAGTTCTTGAAAGAGTAGGAAGCCTGGTGCATCAGGACTTCCTGGGTGGAGTCTGTATATTCATACGCTCCAGGCAGCAGCAGATCCCCCTTACGCACACCCAGGGTCTGAGTTTTTCTGCCCACACCTTTGAAACCATAAGTCTTTTTCACAGGGTTCAGATCAGCCTCCTCAACGAAGTCTCGGACGTGGTAGGTTCCCGGGATGGGTGTGTCCTGGAAGAGTGGGAGCATGGGGAATCTCTGACCCACGTTTCTTAATTTCATAACTATTTTACAACAGTTCAAAGTCTGACATTTTGGAACAATGCAAGAGCAATGCTGCAGTAAGTTCATGGATGGGTGACCTCATGAGAGACAGCTGTTGAATTCCACTGAAGATGCCAATTTCACTCAATTTCCAGCAACCAGAATGATCGAAATCATTGATTAGTTGAAGGTTAATATTAATGTCATTATTTTCTGATGCCTGTCGTTGTGATGTGTCGTTTTACTCATGCATGTAAGTGGCATGTGGGTTTTGGGCTGTGCTGAAGCACACACTTGGTTTCAGAGGGACTCTCTGAAACCAAGTGTGTGCTGTGAAACCAAACAGCAGTGCGACACCTACTCTCAGTGCTCCCAGCCACCAGCTCCCCCGGCCACACAGCTCCACCGTGTCATCACCCTGCAGATAGGGACGAGGCACAGGTCACACCAGACTGCTTCTGCTATGATGACATCGCTATGCCAACGATGTGTTGATTCGTCTCCCACCTTGTCCTCATGAAACCACACACAGAGTTATGAGGGTTTTAAAGATAAAGCCTCACCTTATCTGTCCTGTGACCACTCCGGGACATGTCACCGGCTTCAGAGGCGACTTTGTTTCATCGTCCTGCGCCGCGCTCGCTGTCGTTCACTGTCTGCTTAGTGGGAGATCCAGTGACACCTGACCACCATTAAAACAGGGATCGTTACTATAGCAGCAACTCCACTATCGATCAATTTTTCAACAAGCTGGCCTCGCAAGGGGAGCTAAATTTAGATTGGCTAGTTTGGCTGAGAGTAAGACACATCGGTGAGCCAGCACCGAGTTGCTGTAGGTGCTGCAGGTGGTTATGTGGTTGTCACTGTCTGCATCCCATCCATCCATCCATCATCTTTCATTGTCCAGTTTCCATAATCATAGGGATGGCAGTATTCAACATGTGATATATGGAGGAATACTGTGAATTTAATAAGAATACACAGAAAACAAAGCAAGACTGCATCTCTTCTTCATCACTGTCTGCAGGCA